TTTTTTTTTTTTTTTTTTTTGAGAGAGAAGCTGGCTATACAGTTCAAGCGGGCCTTGAATGTAGTTCAGACTGGCTTCAAAATCACTGTGACCCTCCTGTCCCCTGCCCCGGTCTCTTGAGTGCTGGGATTATAAGCACACGCTGCCATGCCTGGCTCGTCATATAAATGTAAGCATTTATTTTTTAATTTAGATTCTACTTTTTTTTGGTACTAGGAATTGAATCCAAAGCTTGCACACTGAGCTACATGCCCAGCCCTTCTTTCATTTTGACACAGGGTCTCAGTAAGTCACTAAATAGCCCAGGTTAGGGTTGAATCCTCCTGTTTTTAGCCTCCCAGAGTGCTGGGATTGCAGATGTGTGTCATCCAATTGGTTTATCCATTAAATAAGATATATTCAACAGGGGGCTGGTGAGATGGCTCAGTGGTCTAAAGCACCTACTTAGAACAAGCTTAGCAAAGCATAGGGACCGTGGTTCAATCCCCCAGCACCACATGCCAGCCAGCCCCACCCCCTGGTGGGCTGAGCTGGCCACACACACGCATAAATAAATAAAATTTTTAAAAAAAGATATATTCAACAATATAAAGGAACAAAGTAGTTGACATATTCCATAACATGGATAAACCTTAAAAACTTTTTTTGCTGGGCTGGGGAGAGAGCTTGGTGGCCTAAGCGCCTGCCTGGCCAGCTCAAGGACCCTGGTTCAGTCCCTGGTACTGCATGCCATGCCTGCCCTGGAACCCCAGGTGCACCATGCTGGCCACAGAGACCAGTTGTGGTGGTAATCCCAGTGCTGTAATCCCAGTTCTGGGAAAGCCAAGACAAGAGGATCACTACGAATAGAAGCTGTGTAGTCCAATACTGTACCAAGTAAATAAACACACAAAATAAAATGAATAAAACATTTTGCTGAGTGAAAAAGGCCAGACAAAAAAGGCTACATATTATATACAGTAAGTCGCTGACTTACAACCAGACCAGAACATTCGAGTTGCAAACCTTCACGTATACAAATGGACCTTGCATTATGAACATTCACAGACGCGCATACACTTCAGAAGTAGCTAGGGTGTATACTTTAGCATTTTAAGGTTACTGTAAAGTAAGAATTTACAGGATTTATGTGTGTGTGTTTGGTTTTAAGCTTTACACTGTATATCTGTGTCAAAGGTATATAAGACTTGCTTTGTTAGAATTATAAATAAACCTAACTTATGAATAATCGGGGACTTACTGTAACTGCACTTACATGAATTTGCCTCTAGAAGAGGCAAATTAGTAGACAGAAGGCAGATCAGTGCAGAGAGGAATGAGGAGTAAGTGCTTGTGGGCGTGGAGCTTCATGTAGATACCTTTTCTTCTTCCTGAGATGGGCTCTGCTGAGTGGCCCAGACTGACCCGAACCCTGGGCTGACAATCCCTAAACCCGCCCTCCACCCTCGGTGCCGGGATTCGAGTAGGCTGGCATTCCACGTTAGCTTAAGTGGTCAAAATGGTCTGGAATTAGCCCCACTCCACAGTACACTCTAAAGTGATAAATTCAATGGTAGATAAATTTTATTCCCCTTCCCCACAAAAAAAGACTAGTGAATGAATGGATGACAAAAAAATCCCAAAGAACTCTAGTCATATCTCATGCCCTAGCCCTTTTAACCCACAGCTGAAGTGTTTTTGTTTTGTTTCTTTGGTATCAGGGATTAAACTTAGGACTTTATACTTGCCAGGCAGGCGCTTATGCCGCTGAGCTATGTCTCTGGGCCTCCACAGCTAAAGTGTTAATGTGAAGCTTTAGCTTTCGTTTCGCCTGCTGGCCCTTGTGCCCAGGCCATACCATGGACCCTGGACCAGGCACCTGGGGTTGTAGCCTTTGCCTGATGGTAGAACAAAGATCCAGCTGGTGCCGAGCACGGCCAGAAGCAGGACCGCCAGGGGCTTACACTGCCCGGGAGCCTGGCTGGGAGTCAAGTTCCTCTCTTCCTGTAGAAGAAACTGCCCCAGCCTCTGAGGCCCCACTGTCCGGCTGGCCCTGCCATGTCCAGCCCGGGCCCCAAGAGAGCCCTTTACCTTACCCCCGGCTCCTCTGGTTGAGCTTCTTCAAGAAGACCCTCGTGACCTCAAGGGCCTCCTGCTCAGGCAGCAGCAGGTTGCCGGATGTGTTACAGTTCAGGTCAATCCAGTCGGTCCTCAAGGCCTGGAAGTCCAGATTCCGGGCACTGAAGGTCTGGTCCCAGTTGACCACTGGGTCAAACACAGGTACATACTCAAACACCTCACTCATATCCTCTTCCTCCTCCTCTTCTTCTTCTTCTTCTCCTTCTTCATCTCCTCCTTCCACTGGTCCATCCTGATCCACAGCTGCCACCTCCTCCTCCTCTTCCCCTGGCCACCCCCCTTTCGGGGCCTGTGCCGCCAACCCATCACCCTGTCTCTGCTGTGCGATGTAGGAGTCTACTTGCTTCAGCCACTGAGACTGCTCCAGAGTCTTCCCCAGGTCATTACCCGGGGGCCTGGACCTCTTAAGGAGAGGTAGGTGCTGTGCCGAGAGCCCAGGGGCCCTGGGTCTCCCCTTGTCAGAGTGTGGGGTGTCTTGGCTGGGCACAGGGCTGGGCGCGGGGCTGGGCAATCGCGTCCTCTTTGGTTGCTGGAGGCTGTTGCTGCTCCTCCCTGGGAAGGAAGCCGTGGAGTTCAGCTGGGGAAAGGGTGCCCCGGGGTCCCCCGGAGGCTGGGCCAGGAGCTTCCGCAGGCTTCGGAGGCGGTAGTCAGTGACATCCTGCTGGAGGCTGGAGGTAGGCACTGGTTTTCTCTCCTGCGTCTCGGTGTCCCGGTTAAGGGAGGCAGGGGTCTCCTCTGCCACTTCTTCATACTGAGATTCTTCAAGAAGTTCGTCCTCAAAACCTGTTAATAATAACCATTCTTTGCATCAGGAGTTTTCAACCTTTTCCCAAGATTCCCAAGACAGCTGGTGATCACCTGTGTGACACACAGCGAGGGGTCCAGATGGGGACTCAATGTAGGCTCTGCCACTTGCGTGATCCTCAGCAATTTGCTCAGCCTCATTTAACCCCAGTTTCTTTATCCACATAAAGGCTATAAAAACCCCTCTCTCACAGGGCTGCTAGGAAGATGGAGTGATACCGAATACACAAAGGGCCTGGCAGATGCCTGGTTCCTTTTAGGGACCCAGTAAATTGTCTCAGCCCTGCTTTAATACTAAGAAGGCCACAGGGAGACGGGGCTTCTCCATAGTATAGCTTCCGAAATGGTGTCCTAGGAATGGTGGTGCCCCCAGCAGCCCACGTCCTCGAAGGCTGACCCCTGGTTCCATTAAAGAGAGCCACAGCCTACGTGGACCTTGGTAAGAAAGGCAAAAGTGGGTGGCAGCTCTCCAGTCCCCTGGGTACAGAGAGACCTGTAATTGGACGCTGAGCCCCTTGGAGGCAGGGCCACATGGTTTGAGCTTTCCTGGAAGCAGGCTATGGGTTACGGACACCCTCCCAGCCTGAAAGTCGCTGGCCACTCTGTACCTGGCTGCTCTGGGCCCTGCTTCTCTGGCTGGTCCATCTTGATGTACTCCTGGAAGCTGAACCTGCAAGGACAAGGACATACGGAAGGACAAAGGGTGCCTTAGGCAGAAAGAGTCTCGTGTGTGTGTGTGTGTGTGTGTGTGTGTGCACGCGAGCACGTATTATATGTGTGCCTGTAACACGTGTGCAGGAAGAACACAGACTCTTTGAGCTGACGGGCACACGTCGCCATGTGCGAGAGCCCCGGCAGCCCCCGACACCTGCTCTGTCCCATCTGGTGCCACTCACCTGTCCTGATAGTAGGCATTTTCTTGGTAGAAGCACTTGTTATGGGTCTCCATGTGGCTCAGGCGGGTGTAGTCGTTGGGATAAACAAAGGACAGATGAATCTGGAGGTGGAGAAAGCACAAGTGGGAGAGGTAGGATCCTGGAAGGAGCCGCTGGCTGGGGTTGGGGCTTCCCGGCGAGCCACGTGAGGGCTGCTCAGGACCTGCCCATGGGAAGGATGCTTGGAGCGCTGGATCAACTACCAAATGACACACCCCAGGGTCCCCTTCAACTCACACTCAGTCCTGAGGCAAGATTCCCTAGTGCACACCACCTTGACTGCCATCTGTCTCACGCCCTGCAGCAGCAGCTGAGACCCTTCCCTCCCTCTCCGCCACCTCCACAGCCTGAGCAGCCCCCTCTGACTGCACTGCTTATACACGGCTTGAGGTCACCATCAACACAAACTTTGCCAATGTGGCCCTCACCCTCTGGCTCCTGGGAATCCCCCCACTTCCCTCCTATCTCCAGCTCATCTCTGGATCCAGCCAGACCACGTTCATGCTGCCTCTGGCGGCTGTCAGTCCTCTAAAGCTCACTTTCCTCACACCACTGGCCAGCAGCAGAGTGGGACTGAGCAGGCAGGACCGGGCAGTGTGACCCTCAGGGCAGACCCTCACTGAAGCAGAGCTGGAGGTGGGGTCTTAAGGCTCTGCGGCCAGCCTATCCAAGTACCCCGGTCAGGCATCAGGAAGCCTGCCCGCTGAGGTGGGGGGTAGAGCAGGGAGGCAGCTCGGCCTTCCCCAACAGGTCCCAGGCAGCCACCCCTTAGTCCTCAGGCATCCAGCCCCAACTTACAAAGCGGAGGCCCTGGTAGCGCTGCAGGGGGAGCCCATCCACCAGGTAGCTGGGCTTGTAGGGGCAGTCAGGCAGGACGTAGCGGAGATGGGACTTGGGGATCAGAGGCACTGGGGAGAATGACACCAGAGGGTTAAAGGGGGAGACGGTGCCTCTAGGGCCTGCCTAGGGCCACATGGGCTCCTTGCTGAGGTGAAGGTCCAGGTCCTTGGCCCTGAGAAGCCGCCCTCTTGTATTCACTCCTGGCAGCTTCAGCCCTGGGCTGATACTGCCGAACCAAGGCTGCCACCACTCCCAGGGGTGCACATTCAGGGAGACCTTGGTGGAGAGGAGTTAGGACTTGGAGTCATGGCATACAGCTGGCCTCAGTAAGGTCTAGGGACTTCCTTCCACAAATGGCAAGGCCTAGTACAGGGCTGTGCCCAGGTCTCCTTCTTTTATATTATTTATTTTATTTATTGTTATCTTTTTTTTTTAATTTTATTTTTTTTAACATTTATTTAGTGGGGGGGGGGCAGCTCAGCCCACCAGGGGGCGCGGCTGGCTGGCATGTGGTGCTGAGGGATCGAACCGCGGTCCCTGTGCTTTGCCAAGCTTGTTCCAAGTAGGTGCTTTAGACCACTGAGCCATCTCTCCAGCCCCTATTGTTATCTTTTTGAGACAGGGTCTTGTTATGCAGTTCACGCGGGCCTTAAGCTTACTTTGTAGCTGAGGATGGTCTTAAACTTGCAACGATCCTCCTGCCTCAGCCTCCAGGGTGCTGGGATTACAGGAAAGAGCTACCATGCCCAGCTTGTTTTTCTTTTTTTAAAGGAGAAAGGAACACTGTCATGTAAACATGTTACCATGACTGGCCCAGGAATGTAGCTGAGCATATAGCACTTAGCAGGTTCTATTCAGCACCAAAGAAAAACCAAAACAAAACAAAACAAAAAACTTCCAAAAGACAACGGGGCTGGTGGGATAGTTCAGTGGACTAAGCGCCTGATAAGGCAAGCACAGGGACCAGGGTTCGATCGCTGGCACCACATGTCCTTGGGGGCGCTGAGCCAGCCACAGAGAACAGGGGTGGTGGTACACGCCTACAATCTCAGCACTGGGGGGGGGGTTAAACAGGAAGATCACTACAAGTCTGAGCTGCGTAGTGAGACTCTGCATGAGATACATTAAAAAAAAAAAAAAAGACAACGTACTTCTCACTGAATAAACAGAGTAAGAATCTTCTAAAAGACTCCTATTTGTGGTACAGAGATGTGTGAGGACTTCTGCATTCTAATTCTACTTCTTGTCCTGGGTAGTGGATATATAAATTCACTCTGTAATGTGTCACAGAAGTGTAAACTGGACATTCATATTTTTGTACTCTCCTCCGTACTTGTTACATTTTCTACTACAAAGGAAAGAAAAGATTCTGTGACTTGGGACGCTGTCGTAGAACGAAGTCTCCCTAGCCTTTTCTGTCACCACCAGGAGATGCGGTGGCAGGCAGTCCCCAACAGCGCGACAACAAGCGACCAAGGCTTACCTCGATAGAGCGTATCCCGGGGATCAGGCCGCAGCATGTCGGCTGGAGGCTGCTCATCCACGGGGAAGGGGCTGGCGGCGCCAGTGTGGCTGGCTGCGGTCTGCGGGATATGGCCCACCTCATCCATCCTTAAGACAGTCTCATCTAGGGCCAGGGGACAGAGCAGAGGGAGGCTGCAAGTTCTGGCCGGATCCAGCTCGCTGCCTCTGAGGGACCAGGGACCAGGGCGCACCTTCCAGGCTGCCGCTCAGCCCCTCTCCCACCGCTCCAGCCAACTGCGGCCCCCACTCATTCCCTCCACCAGCTTCATGGCTGGCCCAATTCTGCACAGATTGGATAAAGTGATCTCTCCTCAAAGTACTGCAGATAGAAATTTTTCATTATGTTTAATTTTATATAACCCACACTCAAATCCTGCTTTCCTTCCCTCCCTTCCTTTCTTCCTGCTGCAGATTGAATCCTGAACCTGGAGCATGTTAGGTAAACGCTCTACCACTGAGCTATACCCCAGCAGCCTCCGAGTACCAAAGTATTTTACAAATATTAGTCCAGGGGGAGCTGGAGAGATGGCTCAGTGGAATAAGCACTTCCCTGGCAAGCTCAAGGGCCTGAGATCAATCCCCGTTTCCGCAAAAAAAAAAAAAAAAGTCCATTTCAAAGCTACTGTATGACCTATGAACAAGCTGAGTATCCCTTACCCACAATGCCTCCGACCAAAAGTGTTTCAGTTTGGTTCACAAACAAAAGAGTTTGGCAAAATTTTATTCACAAAGTTTTACACAGGGTGACAAACATAACCATAGCCATGTTTTCTAAAAATTGTAGAACAAATTAAGTTTGTGAACTGAAGGGCCACCGTACCTGTGGAACCTTTAACCAGTTGAAAATCCCCAAACTAAACATTCTTTAGGTGCTCAAACAGTTTCGGATTTCAGAGCATTTGCAATTTAAATTTCCAAATTAGGATTGCCCTACCAGTACTGTTAGCATTTCTGTTCTGCAGACTTTGGCAGAGAGAATCGAAGTCACCTGCCTACGACCTCAGAATTGGTAAGTAGGAAAGCCAACTTCGAACCCAGCCAATCAGCCTCTGGATTATGGCATGCAAAGCAATAACTTCCATGCACAAGGGCTCAACCTCTGGTATTTTTATCCTCCAGCCCACTCTTGCCACCTGTCTGCTCTCTGCCACCTCAGCTCATTTGTCTGCAGCCCCAGCTTGGATGACAGCTCTGCCTCCAGTCCCCAGGGCTGGCTGCCTCGGCTGTCGCACTGGTTCCCCCCATGAACTCTGCTATGCTTCTTTTCTTGGTTTATGATGAACACGAGACTCCCAGCAGCCCTCCTGCCTACACCACCCAGCAGTTCACCAACTCCCGCCTCCTGACTTCATGGCCTCCTGCTTTGTCACCAGCAATGTCCTCCCAGCAGCCTGATGGCACGCTCAGTGGCTCCAGTCTCCCTGGGTGTTCATCTTCACCACTGTCCCTTGTGGGTCTGCCTGCTTTGCCCACACCTGCCATGCAGGCTGCCTACAGATGATTGTTTGGGTTTTCATGATGCTGGGAATTGAACCCAGGGCATTGCACAAGGTAGGCAAGTGCTTACCACCACTAAACTATACTTCTAACCCCACAATTTTTAGCACAGCCAATGAATATGAGTCTTGCTGCGGAGGCGTCAAGCAGGGAAAAGTGCAACTGAAGAGTTCATTTCCTGCAAATTCCAAGTAGGTGAACCATGCACTTGAACTGTGGATACTAACAATTCAACAGGGGGCTGGACTCATTGATTTTTTTTTTTTTTTTGAGTTTATTTGCCTTCCAGTCCTAAGGACTGAGCCTAAGGCTTTGCACTGAGTTACACCCTCACCCCTTCCTTTATTTTATATTTTGAGTCGGGCATGATGGTGAACACCTATAATGTCAGCACTCAGAAGGCTGAAGCAGGAGGATCCCTGTGAGTTCAAGACCAGCTTGAACTACATAGTGAGACCCTGTCTATGTTCTGAGACAGGGTTTCACTGAGTCACTACAATGTCCAGCCTGGATTTTAACTTGTGACCCTCATGTCTCATCCTTCTGGGATTACAAATATGTACCATCAAACATGGCCATTAGTCTTTGTGGCACTTAACTCAAGGAGTACTGAGCTACATCTCCAAGGTTTATTATTCTTAAAGTTTGAGACAGGGTTTCACTCAGTTGCCCTGGACACTCCTCCTGCCTCCGCATGACCTCCCCAAGTTTCTTTCAATGAGGCCTAAGTCCTTAGATCCCCTGCAGTTGCACTGAAAATGTCCTACATGGGTGGAGAAGGGCATTTTTCCTGGTGAGGGTCCAGGGAGAGTCTAGCGCGTTCCCAGAGGTGGTATGGAGCCCGCAGCACAAGGTGCCAACCCCTGGTACACTCTGGCTCTGGCTTCCTCCAGCACCCCTGAGTCACCCCGCCCCAAAGCAGCCACTCACTCCCCCAAGGGATGGAGTCCTGGGTTGGGCACCCTGACCCCACTCACTGGTGAAGAGTGACAAGGACGCGGAGTCGATGATCGCAAACTTGGCTCCGGGGTCACTCCGCCGCCACTGCAGGAGGAGAGAGGGCGGCTGTGGGAGGCTGGGGCGCACCCCGGGGGGGCCGGCGAGGCGGGCGGGGCGGGGTGCTCACCGCGACCTCCACATGGTCAGTACCCTCGTCGTTCTGCTTGTGCAGCACCTCGAAGTAGTACCTGCGAGAGGCCACCAGCCTGTGGAGGGCAGAGAGGCCACTGTCACATCTCGTCCAGGCTCTTGCCCATGGGGTGGCAGGGGCATGACGCCCCTCATAGGGGAACGGGAACCCCCGAAAACTGTAACCGCAGGCGCCCTACAGAGCAGCTGCTATTTCCAGCAGCGCCCACATGGCTGGGGGTGCAGCGCTGCTCCGCGGACCGGCCAGTCCCGACGGCGCAAGCCACCGAGTACCGCCTTTGCATCCGTGGCCACCAGGTGGCGCTCTGGAGTCAAGAACGTCTCCCAGCACCCAAGGCGTCTCCAGCGACTCTAGATGGGAAGTCTTGCTCTTCCTTGCCTGGGGACCTTCTAGCAGCCCGGAGGGCAGGGCTGTCCTGGCCATTAAAGGTGTGGGCATTTCAGGGATGCAGATAGGAAGGGCAAGGACGAAGATAGGCCTGTTTTATAGGCCTATCACTAGAGAGGCATGTGAGCTTCAAATTATACCCATCCCGGGCCTTTAAAATGAGGAAGGACAGGCCAGATTTGCGCAAGCCACTGATTCCATGTACCCAAAAAGCGGTCAGAAGGCTGCGTGATGAAGTCAGCCCCATGGGCTTTCAAGCAGGAATGGCTCCGGCCTCAGGGCCTTGGGAGAACGCCTGCCTGTCACAGTCTCCTCACTCACCTCACCGGCTTGGAAATTTGACTCCGAAACTTGCCAAACTCTCCAGGGGCTGTCCACTCCTTCCCGCTCTAGGCAGACAGGGGAACGCACAGAAAGAGGGGAGGTGGGAAACAGAAAGGAGTCAAGTGAGAAGGACTCAAAGGATGTCCTTGCCCAGAGGAGGCGTCTTCTGGGCCGCAGCCCGGGCCACCCCTCTGCCGGGCTGCTTCTCTGGTTCTTCACCTCATCGACCGGCCCCAGACCCGGGGAGCCCAGGCTGCGCTGACCTACCTGGCCCACACTGGCTAGCAGCTGAAGGCCCGAGACCTGGTCATCGTGGCTCAGCCAGAATTCTGCATTGTCATCTGCAGCGATGGCAAACTGGATTTTCCCTGGGAGGAGGGGCAGGAAGAGCGCGCAGGTGAGAGCAGGGAAGGCACAGCGTGCCCTTGCGCTGAGGGCCCTGCTGGGAGTTAGGACTGACTTCTCCTTAGAGGGTGTCATGCTCCGGCCCCTCTTGGCACAGTGGGGAATTCTGGGTCCTTGGGGCAATGTGGCAATGGAGATGACTCCCAGAGACCAGCCAATCAGCCTGGGGGATCGGGGTGAGGCTGTGTGTCCCTCAGTTTCCCTCCCCCATCTCACGATGGATCGACAAGGTCCAGTCAGGCCAGCGTAGGCTTACTTTACAGTTACTGGGTTATTTGAGGCTTTGGGGGGTGCCTCACCATCAGTGAAGGGGTGCAGGTAGCCAAAGATGCGGAGGCCATAGTTGGTCCACTTGGGGGATACCGCCAGCTTTCTCAGAGTTGTGCGTATCTATTGAAAGAATGGGGGAAAATTGTTACCCAGGAGCACGGAGGGGAAATTGACCCACTTAGGGCGGATGCAAAGACCAGGAAAGAGTCATGCAGGAGAAACTGGGGTGTGGTGGGGTGAGGGGCGCACAGGCTGCATTCTGGCTCCCTCTGCCACTTTGTCCAGGTGACCTGGTATGGTGCACAACCTGCACAGCCACAGGCGGCAGCCCTGGGTAAGCTCTAGACATACCACGGTGAGGGCCTCGACTGAAAGGATGCAGAGTGGATGGCAGAGAAATCTAAAGAACCCCTGCGAAGGAAGCAAGGGAGATATTCTGGGCAAAGGACCAGAGAGCCCAAGAGAGGAAGGAATGCAGACAGAAAAGAGGTGAGAGAAGATGAGGGAGAGCAGCAGAGGGAGACCAGACAGGAGCTGGTGAAGAGCTGGGGGAGGGGAGGGCAGGCCCAGGGCACCATGGGACTCACGTGCGGGTACAGGGGGAAGTGCAGGTTCCTCCGCAGCTGCTGGATGGAGCTGCCACACCAGTCCTCAAACACGTGCATGTTGGCGTGGCCCCGGAACTGAGGGCCAGAATAGAGGCAGGAGGTGAGTGTCACCCCCCTCGCCCCAGGGCCCCACAGCCCAGGAGCCCAGGAGCCCAGTGCATACAGGCCCAGCCCTGCTCTCTGTGGGGCAGGCCAAGCCCACTCTAGGCTACTCCTGGCACTGTATTCAGCCCTGCCAGAGGTTGGACCTGATGTGTGCTGAGGGCGTGGCCCCCAGCCTCCGGCACCCTTGGGAGGAAATTGAGTCCTTAGGGTATGCCCTTGAAGGGGACACTAGGACCCCACCCCCTTCCCTCTCTGCTTCCTGGATGGCATGAGGTGAGCAGCCTCCTCCATCCTGATATACTGTGTCACTACAGCCTACAGCGACAGGGACCACGGCCCTTTCTTCCTTACTGGTTCATTCGCTCAGCTATCTTTATCACAGGGATAGAAATCAATGAACATAATTCCCGTGGCCTAAACCTGAGACAGGGTCTGTCTTTCTGGTCAAATACACACACACACACACACACACACACACACACACACACACACACCCCATTCCATTCCTCCCATGCAGAAGCACCTGGCTAGTATGCCCCAAGAGAAAGTGGTGGCCATGACACAGTAACAGCAACAGAGATGGCACAGGAGTGGGAGAGACAGATTTCAGGGGGAGGGGGTACGGCTGCCTCTCCTGTCCTGCCCCTCAGTCCAAGGAAGGGAGAGCCCACAGCTGTCCACTGCTGAAACCTTATCCACCCAGTGGTCTCCAGTCAGCCTGGGGAAACAGCTGGGAGAGCCACAGGAGGCCTGTGGGAACCGTCCTGTCACCCCGGTGCATAGTGGGGGAGTGGCTGCTGCTCTTAGGCACTCAAGTCACCACAGGCAGAGGCAGAAGTGTCCTCCCTATCCTTAAAGCTGTGGCACTGGGCAGGGACAGCACTGGGCTGGGTAACCCCTTTTCCCTTTTCTGAAGACAGGGCTTCAGCAGGACTAGCCCTCTGGGTGGTGGGAGGGGTACAACTGAGAGGAAAGGGAATCGAGGATGTTGTCCCAAGTGACCAGAGTTTTAGATTAACCCCTGTCCTGTCTCTGCTCTCTCCTCTGCCACCTTTCCCTGGAGAAGCATTTCTGAGCCGTGGGGCATTAGGCCTCATGACACTACTAAAACAGGCCCTCCGCCCCTCCTACTGTGGTCCAGCAGGTACCCGAGAGCCCCAGATGAGACTCAGACTGAAGGAAGTCACAAGGGCCTCCCATAAGGGCTTGGGGAGGCAGGGCTGAGAGGACGCGGGGAACACAGAGGTCCAAGGTGGGCACAGCCTCAGGGGCACAGCAGGCTCTGAGGAGACACAAGGAGCCTGTCACTCCCTGACCCCTCAGCAGCCTGGCATGCCCCAGCACTTGCCTGGTCAGAGCTAGGAATGTGTGGGGTTGGGAAGTAGCCATGGCTCATGGGAATGGGGGTAGGGGCCTGGTGGGAGGTGGTTTAAGGCTCCAGAGAAGGAAAGAATGGGGACATTGTGCTGCTTGTGTGGAAATTCTTCAAGTCCAGTCTACAAGACTCAGTTGTCCCTTCTAAATGGCCTGCTCTCTGTCCCCTCTGGAGACGTTCAGGGTTCTGAGGCCTAGAAATGCAGGGGGAGTCTGTGGGGCAGGGAGGCCATGGCAGGCGCCTGTCACCAGAGAATGGTACGGGCCAGAGGCCACAGGGTTTGGGCAGGCAGGGCGGGTGCTGCCCCGCTCTCAGGACCTGCCCTGCTTTAGGAAGGGAGAGTGGGGCGTCAGGGGAAGCTGCACACAGAGGAGTAGGCACACTGCTCCAGGGCAGAGGCCTGACTGCCACGCTTCCCCTCTGCTGCCGGGCTGTGGGTGGTGTCTCAGGGACCTGTGGCTGGCACACACACACACACACACACACACACACACACACACACCCGCCCTGCCCCGCTGGTGACTCCACCAGGACTTGTATCGCTTTGAGTTTTGGAGACTACATCTGGCAGGGATGTGGGACCCCAGCAAAACCACACTGCCTGGTGTCCATTCTCTCCCTACCAGCATAGCAAAGGCCCCAGGGAGGCACCTCTGTTTAGAGCCAGAGCGGGTGCACCACCAGCAGCCTCTGTTTGACAGCCTTGAGTCCAAGAGAGAGAGCCAGGCGCAGCGATGCACACCCGCTGCCTGGGCCTCTTGGGAGGCAAAGACAGGAGGACGGCGAGCCAGGCCAGCTGGGTGACTCAGGGATACTCTGTGAAGGCATTTCCCAAGCACAGGGACAGAAAACAAAAACGTGGAGAAAATGTGTTGGAACAGGCTCACTTCCGAGGTAAGGATCCTGCAGCTCAGAGAGGTAAACTGACTTCTGTTGGGGCCACAAATCAGGAAGATAAATCCAGCGAGGGGGTGGGGGTTTCCTCACACTAGATGTCCCATTACCTCACCCCACCTCCTGGCCAGCAGAAGTTCTCAAGAGTAGGTCTTTGCTTTTTCCCTCCACTCTGTCCTTTTCCTGCCTCAAGAATTTTCCTTCAAAAGCAGAGCCCGGATAAGTCACTGCCACCTCAGCCCTCAAAGGGCTTCAGAATAAAACCTTTTCTCACACCTACCTTCACGGCCTCACCTGTGTCCCTACCCTTACACCCATACTCCACCCACACCGAACTCCCTGCCTTTGTAAAACATAGCCTGCTCTTTGACTTCTCCAAGCTTTTACAAGTACCATTTCCTGGCCTGAGGCCCCTTTGGTTCTCCCGCACAGGCCAACTCCACTCCCTCCCTGAAGTGCGTCTCAAACATTCCCCTTGCAGGTCTCCTGCCTTCGCCAGGGAGTGTTCCCCTGTGTTCATTTCTTTGAATTGCAATTATTTGATGGAACAAATGCTTGTAGAAGCTGATCCCCGAGCAATGTGTCCCTAAATTTATGCAACAGGGGCCGTGGCTCAGAGGCAGAGCACACTGGGGGCCCTGGGTTCAACTCCAACAGTGCCAAAGAAAGAAGATGAAAGAGAAGTAGTCCCGTATGGCGGCAGACATGGAAGGTCAGAAGCCCACGGCGAGTGCTAGCAGCAGTCTCTCCGACCCATCAACCCAGCAGTCCAGTAGCCAGCTCTGCTCTGTGGTCTCACCTGCAGACACGGGCTGGGGCACACACCTGCTAGGAGTCTGGAGAGGCGGCGTCTACTTTGTTCTTTTAGTGGCAGTGCTGGGGATGGATCCAGAGCCTGCGCATGTGACAAACCACACCCCAGCCCTGCTCAACTTTTGATGGGAGAAAGTTCCCCTATGGAACAGAAGGAACCTGGTACCATGAAGACAGGGACAGCTCTGGAGTTTGAGGAAGCCAGCAGTCCATCTAGTGCAATCCTAACGTGTGAAATAACCCCATTCAAACAGGAGGATGAACGGATATGCTACAGGTTTCCTTCTAAGGTGACCGAAGGTATAGAATGTAAGACAAACTATGATGGCAGTGATTTGGGGCTCTGTAAACAGCAAAGCCTGATCCACACGAAAACTTGTACAAAAATGCTCACAGCAGCATTATTCAAATCAGCCTCCCCCATAAAAGCAGCAACACAAATGTGCCCCCAGCAGAGGAGCAGATAATAAAAAATAAAACGTGATCGGCCAGGCATGGTGACGAATGTCTGTAATGCCAGGACTTATGAGGCTGAGGCAGGAAGATCATAAAGTCAAGGCCAGCCTGGTCCTCATGGTGGGTTCACAGCCAGTTCAAGGCCAACTACATAATGAGACCTTGTCTCAACTAACTAACTAGTGATTTACTGTTCTTAGGCTCAGAAACCTTCATGCCAGGAGAGCTGAGGGGAGGCGAAGTACGTGGCCAGGCTGAAGCCAGAAGGAAGAGCAGAGGGCCGAGCAAGCCACTGGCCTGTGTACCACGAGGAGACCACAGAGAGGAAACCAGGAACGCAGAGGCAGGGAGCCGCTGTGGCTAGCGGAGTGCACGCTCCTCCGCTCCGGTCCAGATCCCGACTCCCGGTGGATCTGGCCCTTCCCTGACTGCCTCTGAGGGGCCACCTTGCTCACCCTAAACAGTCTGCGCTGGCTGACTGTCCCTGACCCAGGATGTTCAGTTCTCAGTCAGGCTCAGTGCTTCACGAATACAATGTCATCTTTTCTGCTGCTTTACGCAACAGCAGCTTATGTAGCCACATGAAGTTATGCAACACAGCTATCTGCCTCAACAGGAACAAACTCTGAAGACACCACACTGGGTGAAAAAGAAGCCGGCCACACAGGACCACCCACTGTACAGTCCCATTCATATGGAATGTCCTAGGCAAATCCGGACAGAAAGCAGATGACTGCCGGGGCTGGGGGAATGAGGTGATGGGAGGTGATGACCAGGGATGACGTTTGTTCCTTGGTAACAAGATGTCCTAAGATTAACCGTGGCGGATGGACCATCTGTGGGTGTAGCAAAAGCACAATTCAAACGGATAGACCCCATGCAACATTAATTACATCCCAACACAACTACAAGAAATTACACAAGTCAGGTGCATGCCTGTGGTCCCAGCACTTGCGAGGCTGAGGCAGGAAGATCACTGAGAGTGCGAGACCAGCCAGGGATACAAAGTGAGCTCAAGTCCAGCAGCCTGCACTGCACAGCGAGACCCCTGACTCAAAACAAAACCTTTACACAGCACCTAGGTCTAAGCCTCAGCCTTGCGAAAGAAGAAAGGGTGGGGGAAGGCCAAATGGGAAAAACAGGAGTCTGTGCTTGCCCTCTCCACGAGCAAGAGGCGCGGCCTTACCGAAGCCCGCAGAAATAACTCGCACACACCCTGACCTGCTTTGACCTGACTGTGCGCACCACTTTTGTTCTTACAACTATCTGGGGCTGCGTAACAGTGTTGCGGTCAGCAGATGTAGACACCAACTGATAAACGAATAGGCCGGCATTAGGGTTGGCTAGTGTCTAGTGATTTGGGCGCACATAAGTGGTTTTGGGGTGTTTTTACTGTTGTTTTGTTCCTTCAGTGTTGAGCTATATCCTTAGTCCTATTTATTTATTTAGACAGGGTTTTGCTATATAGCCCAGGCTGACCTTGAACTCACAGCGATCCTCCTGCCTCAGCCTCCTGAGTGCTGGGCTTACAGGTGCATGCCACCACTTCCTGGCCTTATGTTTTATTTTGAGACAAGTTTAATTTTCTCAGAATGGACTCTCCCAACCTGCCTCAGCTTCCCGAATAGCAGAAATTATGGGCATGTGCCACCATACCTGACCATGAATACGCTTTTGAGAACAGTCACTCGATGATACCTGGCCCCCACCATCCATTGGGATCTGTCCTCTGGAACACACCCAGGAGACACCCCAGGGGCTCTACGTGTGTGCATAAGTCCTAGAGACTGAGTGGCCAGACAAAACCTGGGGCAGGAAGCAGCACACCAAGAGGCCACAGTCAACCTTCCCATGGTCTGTCCTTGCTCTATGGCCTAACTCTGTGGTCCCGAGGTCAGCCGCCCTAAGCCATCACCTAAAGATGGGAGATAACAGCAGGCGCTGAGCACTCCCAGTGGCTAGGAGAATTCAGATCTACACTGTTGGCCTGGGGACTCACTGCTGTCCAAGGCTGAAGTCAGGCAGGAGATGCACTATGGAGGCCGTGTGGGACCAAGGACTGACTGGAAGGACTGGAACCCGGTGAGGCACGGACAACACCGCCACCCGACTGACCTCTGGGGCTTGTTCTCCCAGGCAGTAAAGGCAGCTGACTAGGGTGGGCTCACATGAGCCCAGGGCTTCAGAACTAGCAAAAAGACGAAGTTGATGACAGCGTGGGCTCTGTGATTCCCTGGAGATCTGCGAAAACTAATGAAGATTTCTGAGCTACTTTTAATATATAAAAAATCAAATCAGTAGAAACTGGTCATTCAGCACCAGAAAGTCCCACACATGTACTAAAATATCAAGTACTGCCTGAGCTAGGCACGGTGGTACGCCTGTAACCTCCTCAACACTCAGGAGGCCGAGAAGGCAGGATGATCTTCAAAAGGTTGAGACCAGCCTGAACTGCACAGTGAAACCTTATCTCAAAAAGACAAATGGATAAATACATGCATACATACGTACATACATACAAACAGAATGCTATATAGCTCTCTTAAAAATAATTAGCTCATCAAGGAAAATGATCCAAGCTGCCCTCAAAAGAGAGAAAGCTGGATCACCAAGCCAGACAAAACACTGTCTCCAGGCAGGGTGGGGCATAGCCACCTGATGATGTCACCTGCTACAGATATGCCAGCGCTGTAATCCACCCTCCCCGGGGGCTTTGGGAAGAGGTGGGTCCCAGTGTGGATAACCTCGCCTCACAGGGAGCAGTCCAGCCTCCTTCACTCCTCCTCCTGCCTCTGCGCAAGTGAGTGGCCTGGGAAGCAAACTGCCCAGGCTGGCGAGATCCATCGGGACAGGTGTGAGTACAGCCTGGGCAGACTCAGACCGGCGGACTCAGACCAGCGGGCCCAGAGACGTCAGCCACGTCCACAGGCACCAAGATGGAAGAGTCTGGCTTCTAATACAAGAAACCCAAAGTATAAATGAATTAAGGAGCAAAATAAAAGCTAGATGACAGGGCTGGGAAGATGGCTCAGTAGAATAAGCGCTTGCCTGGCAAGTGCAAGGGCCTGAGTTCAATCCCCAGTTCCACCAAAAAAAAAAAAAAAAAAAAGGCTAGATGATAGCAAACAGGGAACCAGGGATACAGCTCAGCAGCACACTGGTACTCCAGGTACCAAAATTAATTAACTGATTGATTGATTAATTAATTAATTAATGGAAAACAGGGAGCTAGAACTTTTGTAGATTGGAAAGGGACCAGGAGACGGAGGCACGGGGAAGCGACGAGAGGTGGAAGTGAAAGAAATCAACATGTGTCATGTACGTGTGCCAGCTCCCCACTAGGAGTGTGGGCATTATGTGCTGCAAACCCAGAAAAATGTGCACTGAGCTAGGCATGGTGGCGTGTGCCTGTGATCCCAGCACACAAGGGGACAGTCGAGAGTTTGAGGCCAGCCAGCCTGGGCTACAAAGAGAATTCAAGGCCAGCCTGAATGGCATAGAGAACTGTGTCTCTAAATCAATCAATCAATCAATCGATCAATCGAGGGCTGGGGACATCACCCCATGGCACAGTGCCTGCCCGGCAAGTGCAAGGTCCTGAGTTCAATTTACAGCACCCCAAAAAAAAAAAAAAGTCAAATGATTAAAGAAAAATTCATTGGCTCTAAATAAGACAGAAGCCTGGTGTGGTGGCACACATCTGTTATCCCACACTCGGGAGGCCACGGTAGGAAGAGCACCACGAGTTCAGACCAGTTTACACTACGCAGAGAGTTTAAAAACAGTCTGAACCATATAACGAGACCCTGTCTCAAAACAAACAAGCAAACTGACCATAAAAAAAAAAAAAAAAGTTAAAATTTTATCCTCCAAACACTATGTTAGCACTGTCTTGGTACAAGCGTTTACTCAAAGCAATTTGTCTGTGCTCAGTCATTTCCCTGGGCGGAGCTGTCTCTTAGTCAAAGGAAAAAGGCTAGGGAAGACTGTCAGCGAGGGCATCATGGTGGTTAGCTGGGGTTTTGCCTTTTTGCAGCGCTGAGGACCAAACTCAGGGTCTCTTGGATGCTAGACAAACGCTGCACCACTCAGCTAAACCTCAGCCCGACGCTGTTTTATTCTCCCTCCCTCCCCCCCCTCCCCCTTCCTTTCAGGTGGTCTCACTCTGCTGGTCAGGCTGGGCTCAAGCGATCCTGAGGCAGGCACCTTCTAAGTATCTGGGACAGCAGGTGGGCACCATCACGCCCAGTTAGTTATGATTTTCATTCAGACATGTAACTACTTTCTAAAACATTTTCTAAATCAGAATTTCCTAATGGATATTCCTTAGAACACTAATGTTAGAGAATATTAATAAGTATTTCATGGAAAAAGCAATTGGGGGGGCAATGACGTTAGCACAGGTTGAGCAAAATCAAGTTAACCAGATGGCTGCAGAACTCCTCAGAATCTTTTATATGCAAATGGCCATTTCCAAGGAGATGTAGTCTACACTTAGATTGTTGTTAAGAGGTTTTTTTTATTAAAGGCTTATTCAACAATGGACTCCCCTCTCTTCTTGGAATCTTAGGGAACTTAATGGTCCCAGAAAGACAATTTGAGAAGTCTGTTATCTCTAACACATGGGATTGGCATGGCTATAAAAGTCTTAAAGAGAACACAGATCTCCTGAGCTTTGCTTTTCCCACCTATAAAACCAGGAGGACTGTTAAGAGTCTGAATCTGAAATGTCCCCAAAGACCCAAACCCTTGGGGCCCAGCCTGTGACACTATCAGGGAGAGGTGAAACCTTAGGAGGGGGGAAATAGAGGGGAGGAAATTAGGTGACCAGGATGTGTCCTTGGAGGGGTCCATGGGACCCCAGCCCCTTCCCTCTGTGCTTCCTGGATACCATGAAGTGAGCAGCCTCCTCTGCCATGATTCACTGTGTCACCACAGATTCTAAGCAATAGGGACAAGGGGCCATGAACTGAACTGCCGAAACTATAAGCCCAAATACTATCTTCTTCCCTAGAAGTTAGGTCAGGTGTGTGTTACCAAGATGAAAACTGAAAGATAACACAAGCACTTTTTTTCTTTGAGACAGGGTCTCACTGTGTAGCACAGGTGGGCCATGAGCTCACAGAAATCCTCCTGCCCCAGCCTTCCACACGCTAGGACTAGAGGGCTGAGCCACCACAGCCAGCCACAATGACTCCACAGGGGGAAAAGGCTGAGCCCACCACACACAGGCCTGCAGTAAATGTGCACGCTCTTCCTCTAGGGGAAGTAAATCAAATGAGCGTGGAATCGGGTGGGGGAGTAACACAATAATTATCACTGGAAGGTTCTGTGATCTCTGGGGTTATCTTAAAAAAGAACAAAGAGGAAGAGATGGAGGGAGACAAGGAAGAAAGGAAGGAAATTTCACCTTCCCCAAGAACAGGACCAGCAGAGTCCCCTACCTCTGAGAGCCAGGGGACAGGCTTATTCCACTTCAGGTAGCTGTTGTTGCTGCTCCTGCTGCGGTCAACTTCTTGGTCCTGGTAGGAGAATGAAGAACAAACTTAGTGGGAATATTAGGGCACAAAACCAAGGGCTGGACAGGACTCGGGGCCCCTTGAAAAAATCCGTGGTCAACAGGGTGTCAGCAGTCACAGTCCCTGACCACAGGAGACACTCCAGTACCAATTGTAACCCCAGCTACTTTCAGGATGGGGCATCTGTCTACCTTATTTGTCTACTTTATTCTCCCTGGTTCTCAGCAGAAAGTGCCTAGTATCATCACCAAGGTATATCCTGGGCTCTATGCCAGGGAAAACCGGACTTGCTGTTTGGCTTACTGTTTTTTTTTTTTTTTTTAATCGTCTTTTGTTTTGTTTTAAGCACCAGGGATGGAAATGGGGCCTTGTGCAGTACCTATTAGGCACCTGCTGTACTACTGAGCTACACACACCCCAGCTCCAGGACACGCTGCTTGAGGTAGAGGCCGCCTGCCTAGAAAGGCTCAGGCATGAACAGACATCTCTATCAACCTAGCAAAAGCAGAAACAGGACAACCAAGCCCAGTGGTAGCCAGGGCTTAGAGGCAGGCAGGACGGACATCTCAGCCCAATCAGCTAGGAAATCACAGATGCCACATGGGGCTCCCATGATAGACACAGCTGGCCTTGCCACCTACCTGGAGGTTCACACTCTGGGGATGGTAGAACTGGAGGTTGGGGTCCACAGCTGGGATGTTCCTGCTGGCCAGAGCCTTGGCTAGTTCTCTCCAGCTGGCATACCCTGTGAAAGAAAGGAGATGAGAACATAATGCGAAGGCCTACGCGTTTATGAAACAAGAGTCTGCAGAACAAAGGCAGCCGCTGCCCTTCTGCTCCTCACGCATGGATGGGGCAGGAGACAGGGATAAACTCAGCCCCCGCCAGCAGGCCAGAGAACGAATGAGCCCCCTGCCCATCAGAATTCACCGCCTTCTCTAAATCTGAGAGGGAACCGGTCTAGGGGAAATGGACCATCGTCCTTGCGACGTTGGCTGGGCCTTCCCTGGCTGCCACTGAAAGCCCGTTTCTCTCTAGAAGCTGCTGAGGAGAAACAAGTGAGAAAGGAAATACACTCCCGGCTTTCAGCTCTGTCCCTTCCAAGGAAGCCGCAGGGGATCACTACCCCTACCAATCACTAACCAAAGAGTTGCTGGAGAGAACCAGAGCTGTGGGAGGTAGGAAAGCCTGGGCTTGAGACATCACGTTTGTCAAATCAATTTATAAACTTCTGGAAATGTAGGGTTGGAGGCCCAGCTACTGGAGAGCATGTGGGACAGATGAAGTCCATACGCTGAGCGCTCCAGAAGCCCTTCACCCGTGCACATCTGGGAAGGCAAACGCTGAGCTATGGTAAGAGGGAGGAGGACCAGGAAACTGTCACGGGCACGCACACATTCTCGAATAAGCACGGAGGCAAGAGCTAAACTGCGAAGGACAGAGTCAAGCCTGGCTGGAAATATTCACAGCTATGTCCAGAGCCACAGCCTCCTCCTGTAAGGAGAGGGGCTAGGCGTGGCTACTGGGCCTTGAATCAGCGGACCACAAACCATATGCCAATTGTTAGCGATAAACCAGAATCTCAGGTCACCAGAAGTTAGAACGGGCTCTCCAGATCTCTTCACATTCCAGATCAGGCCTAGCAAATGGTTGCAAGGCTAACACCAGAGCCGGCGTTCAGATGGACCCCCCCACGCCCCCTGGCTGCTTCACCTCTAGCAGCTTTGTGGAGATGTGCCACGAGGCTCGGGCGTGGCTCTGAGGTGGGGGAGCGGCTGGCAGAGCTGACGCACATGGATAGTCACCTGCAACCAGAAGCCAGAGGCCGGAAACCAATGGCTGACGGGAAGCAAGTGTCACAGGACCCCAAGGTGGGCACCAACGTGGACACAGCCTGCCAACCAGACACAGATAAAGAGCACCACTCACAAGGACGGCCTCTCGGAAGGTGGACATCAGGGATGCTTCCGTGGGGTGGGAGAACACAGAGAGGCAGGCGGGGAAGCTATTGCTTTTCTAACAAGGTCTGTTACTCCCTACAAACTGTCACTGTTGATACGTTCTGTGTGGCCCTTTGGCGTTTAGGAAGCAAGCATAGGCACGACCTCCCTGAGCCAAGTCTTGTGAGATAGGCCAGGAATAGATGTCCCCACCTTACCGACAGGGAGCCTGAAGCTCAGAATCAGCCACAGGGCTGGCTGGCTCCCAGGCTGAGAAGGGCTCTGCCTCACACATCACCACTTGGTCACCACTTGGTCACTTGCCTACATTTTCTCCCCGGGGTACTTTTTGACAGAGACTTGAAAAGCCCAGGGCGGCGGCCTCCGCTGGAGAGCGGTGCCTGCGGGATTCCTGCACACGCAATCTCAGCTGATGTTACGGTTCCAGAAGTTCTGCAGGTCTATCCCTTGGCATCAGGGCCTCCCCATGTTCATGCCAGCCAGCTGGCAGTCAGAAGCACATGAGCTCCGCGAGAGCAAACACAATGCAGCGACGCTAGGTCGCAGGTGCTTTTTTTGGAAGTAGTAGTACTGGAGCCTGAACCCAGGTACACCCCAAGTCCTTATTTATTTTTAGCTGCGTTCTCACCCAGGATGTTTTTGCACCCGTGCTCCTGCCTCAGAATCCTGAGCAGCTGGAATAAAAGATCTGGGCCACCACATCTGCTCAGGAGCGCTTTCTCACAGACTCGTTTTCAGCTCCAGGCCAATTCTTTGACTACTAGAAGTCACAGAAGGGGAAGATGACTGACCCTAAGTCAATGAACTCCTCCTGTGGGCCTTTAGCTCCCTTGGTCCTGGCACCTGCTGAGAAGTGACAAAGTTGTTTTGGCCCGACTTTACACAGCTCCTCTGGGGCCTCTACTTGTGTGGCCCTTTGGGCCCTGTCCTAGGCCTGTCCCCCAGGGCTAGCAGGAATCTCCCTACTGACATGATCTCCTGAACACTGCAGATATATCTGATCAAGCTTCTCAGCTCCCTCTCCTATACAACAGTGCTGTTTGGCCAGTTCAGCAAACGTGCTGTGGGTATCTGGTGAGGTGAGGCTGAGGCAGGAGGATGGCAGCCAGTTCAATGCCAGTCTGAGGTACAAGGTGAGACCTCTGCTGCAAAGAAATGAATGGATGAAAAAATAAAAAAATACTAAAAAATGAACGGATGAATGACCACGCTGGGTGCCTCTTCCTAGTAACTGCTTATCAGCTAACCCCAACCCTTTGCTTTCCTGTTGGCTATAAAACCTCAGCTGTCTCTGTTGCATTCAGAATTAAGCTCTTAACAGTATGGGATAAAATCTGTCATTACCACTGTTAGTGGGTGAGCAGTTCTATTTTTCTTTAACAGAAGGCAAGAAGTGGCTCTCTTGTGACCCAAGACAAATACTGCATGACCCAAGACAAATACTGCGGTGATGGCAGGGGTGTACTTACAGGGAGGAAATTCAGTGGAGTAGATAGTGCCAGGGCCTGCCACCCTTAGGCTGCAGGTGGGTCTGCATAGTTGTAAGATACCTGGAATCAGGAAATGGGCAACAGTCTAGCCTTCAGCAATGTAAGCAGAGAGAAATTCTCTGTGCAGACTTTGCAAATCACGGAAAGATAAGCAAGGCTCTGGAGTAGGAGAGACCTGATTTTGTATCAGCCGCTTATCAGCTGTGGCTGCTTGACCACGAAATTGCACCTCTGTGGCCTTGATTTCTACAGTTGTATGCAGGGGACAAAACCCCCCACCCTGGGACTGGTGTGAGGGTCCAGTCATGTACCTTAGACCCAGCATGGGGTCTGACAGCCAGCAAGCACCTAGTGAGCAATTCTTCTTCCTAGTAATTTTTTTAAGTTCAGCGTTCTGGATTCAGGAGTCAAGAGAGGTGAGTTCTAAGCCCTCTGGGAGCTGTCTGGCCCTCTTCTCTCCATGCTGATTGGCCACAGAATAAGTAGAGGTGAGCCAGCAGCAACTCAGTGGTGACACAGTGGTGAACTCTCCTGTTCGTTCCATGGGCATCACTCGGTCCCCCAGCCTCTCCACAGCCCCCGCCCACACTTGCTAAGTGCCTATCCCATATCAGGCACTGAGCCCCAAGTGTGGACCTCCCCAGGGTCTGGGCTCTGCATTAATCCTGCCACAGGCTACCGAGGCACCGCTCAGCCCCCAGGGACTCTCGGGGCTAAAGAATGTGCTGATCTCACTACTGACACTTGTCACTTGCCTGCTGCTCCTGGCCAGACCTCTCCTCCCACAGCACCAGCTGCCAGGGCCTGTTTCTCCAGCGACAGGTGTCACATTTGTGCCAGGAGACAGACACCCAGAGCTCAGGTGACAGATCAAGCACCACTATGGGCCTCACATTCCACCCTCACAAAGCTGGGCTATCAAATTCACCATCAGCGCCAGCTTTGCCAACACCCCTCCTCCGGGCAGTGCAGACCCTTCAGAGGCCTGAAGCTTATCATCCTGGCTCTTAGGTGAAAACAGGGCGCACACACACCCCTTGGTGCTTTTTCTTTCCCCCCAAACTCTCACATACTTCATTTCACTGCCCCTCCATCTGCCTGTTAAGTGTCATCATCTCCATTTTAGAGATGAAGAAACAGAAAGGTTATCGGCCCCAGGTCACATAAGAGAGCAGGATGATCCACATCCGCCGTAGGTCTGAAACACAGTAAGCGCTTAACCTTCCGCCCCTCGGGACCTTCTCTAGAAGTCCTTAGGTTTCAGATCTGCAGCTTGTGCTCACCTCTTCTACCTCTGGCCTGATGCTCTTGTCTACGTATCATGGGGTCATCAAGGTCATCCACAGGGGAAAAAACGGAGGCCTCTCACTGATCAGGCGGCTGCTGCTACGGACTCCAACCTGACCCGACAAGCTTGAGCGCCTAACTCCATTCAACAGCTGAAATGCATTAAAGCACTTCCAACTTGACAGCCAGGGGCCAGGGTACAGCTCAGCGGCAAAGCGTTTGCCTACCATGCACAAGACCCTGAGTTCTCCATGCTGTTATGTTGAGCTACAGGGGACTCAGGTCAACAATTGCTGACAGGGGCTGGTGAGATGGCTCAGTGGTCTAAAGCACCTACTTGGAACAAGCTTGACAAAGCACAGGGACCACGGTTCAATCCCCCAGCACCACATGCCAGCCAGCCGCGCCCCCTGGTGGGCTGAGCTGGCCACACACACACACACACACACACACACTAAATGTTAAAATAAAAAAAAATAAAAACAAAAACAAAAACAAAAACAAAAAAAAACAATTGCTGACATTGAGAGTCAAGCAGAAGACCCAATACTATTATGGGCTACTGTGGACTCTTAGACTATTTTGCTGAGTTAACACACCTATAATATTCAAATAACGGAACTAAACAAGAAAAGGGGATACAGATGAAGGTCCATTTTGTATCTGTGTATTCAAAATGGTTAGGATAGGGGCCTGCCCATTAGCTCAGTTGTTTAAGTGCCTGCTTAAACAAAGCACTCAAGCTGAAGCTGCAGTGGTTCGAACCCAGATACTCACAGCAAACCAGAAATGCCCTAAGGCATCTTCTGGCCTCCAAAAAAAAAAAACCCTTCAAAATGGTTAGGATAGATATATAGTTACATTCTCTTAATGAATAGAGGGATTTGTTCTAATGGTGTTTGTAAAAAGGATATCATGTCTGCATCTTGTACAGCAATTAACCATTAGGAAGAATGTATGCAATGTGTGAATTATTGAAACTGTCCTACCAAGAGAAAATAAATGAA